CTCATGCCATTAGAAAGAGGATCATGAAAAACCTATAAAAAAATGGTTCATGAAATTTTAGTTCACTCATAAAGCTAAAGTCCGCCTGCTCCAGCAAAAAATGCCCACTGTGAGTAGCAGGGATGATTGAAACAGCCGGCGCATGCCTACTACTAAGTTTAAATATGATCGCGTTTACACGGCATTTCCGTCAATATCCAGTTTTTAAAGCTTCTACTTCTATCTTCCTGTTACTATTGTTAACGCCCGTGTAAATGTGAGATGGAGAGGTTATGATCTGTTTAGATTCTAGAACATTTAAAAATACTACGAGCCTTTTCAGATTTAAGCAGTAAGTCTATAATTACCTATAATCAAATAGGTTTCGAATAAAAAATTATGTATTACTTGGGATAGACCTATCGTAATATTTTTCGCTCTAATACCGTTGCAGTGGACGCTTCAATGGGTGTAACTATCCAACCGTTTTATTCTATAGTTAAAAACGTATCGTTTGCATAAAACTTTGCATATTCGTCAATTTACTGGTCGTTTATACCTTGGTGATAAGTATTTGTTAGGGATCTGGTTTAGCGATCTTGTGTTAAAATCCAGTATGTTAATTGGTCTATGTTTGGGTGACCCATTTCATATTCAGTTATCATCGTACAATACAAGTAACGATTTTCAATGTTGTTCATCGAAATTTCAAACGACAAATATTTATTATCCAATAATTGCTTCTCCTTACCTGTTTTTGCCACTATTAACATCGATATTTACCTGTAAAGTACGGCGAATTCCTGAAACATTCAATGAAGCAAAACAGTTGGGCTTGACCGTTTATAATCTTTTGTTTTTATCTATTTCATTACCGGCAATCGATATAACCATGACGAGATAAAACCTCATCACTAATCGCTTATGGTATTTTGCATATTTATGATTAGTGTAATTATGTTTCTACCAAAATTAATACTCGTATTTACTGTTCATTGTAAAAAAAGGGTGACAATTTATGTATAAGGTCTACTTTTATATTTAGTCACGGAAATTTATCTAGTTCAAGCATACCACAAACTAGCTATGATGTTTCTACTACGGATTATGTTAACAGCTCGAAAATGTTCAATGACTTAACTTATTGATAAGAAGCTAAACAGTGGAATTGCCCAGAAAACTGCAATAGTTCTCGTCTACTAGGAGCCATAGTAAACGTCCTCTGGCATAATAGTGCTGAATTCTCTTCTATCTATTATTCTCGGAATTCCTGGAATCTGTAAATTTTCATTAACTTCACGCACACCCTAAAAAACCAAGTGACTTCATGAAAGTCGTCTACAGAAAAAATGTCTTTAAAGTGTTTTTCATATAGTAATAGTAAGAGTTAGTCGGACCCGGTGTAGGTTTCTAGTGTAGGATGAGAAACAGAAAAACTACACAAATAAACACAAAAAAGCATTTCTATAATAAGAGCCATCTTTATGTCTCTACAGTGCCATTCAAGTGTCTATGATGTATCGTTTAAAAAGCGATACAAAGCGTTTTCCTAGGTAAATCATATAAAATATCCTCAAAATAGACGCATTTATGTGGTTAAATTGGATCCGACTTAGTGTTTTACTATAAATCGGATTTTTTTAGAGTGCAGCTTGCGAAAAAAGTCTGAGGTTGATGTGCTGGTAAATAGAGTCTAGCTTAAAAAAGCCAGTTAAAGCAAATATATTTTTAATGAGGTTACTAAAAATAAAGGATTGATATATAACATTCTGGAGAGAAACTAATTGCCTGAGAAATTAAAAATTTTACACTCTTGGACAAGTGCAGAAATGCGATTGCGAAATGCGAATAATTAGTTAGTGGCGTAACCAGTTAGTCGAGTTTTGTTCAGATTTTCCCAACGAAAGCGATGAAATTTTATTGTGTCTTGATCGTGTTCCTACACTGAAAGAAATCTAACTATGCCACCAGTAATACGACCACCAGAAATTCATCACTTTCAAAATGCTAATTAGTCAGTTGGAACTCATCAATGTTTAGACGCAAATTCATCCATGATACCGGTTTAAATATAGTTTACTTTCACAACTGATAGTGTTATTCTGCCATTATGAATGAAATATGTAATAAAAAGTAAATTAATTTTTGTCAGATTTAGTTTGATATATTCAACTAAAACTATATATTGATTGGAATTCTAGAATGCTTAATGGGCAAGAAAATTTAGATCGATTAAAACCAATGCAGTTTAACACAACATTCGACCTGTTTTTTTAATGAAAATTCAGCAGGACAGGATGCCATTATCCAGATTAGACCCGGTACAATTTGCATTCTATTACGGAACCGTTCCTTTTCAAACGAATATGAACTGTTTGAACGATTCACCATTCATATATTTGAGTGAATTATAACGATATGATACCGTTAGAAAAAAAATTCAGAGATGTGCATTCGATAAAGGAATGTTAATTGTCTATAAATATAATATTTTCTCTACACTTGCTGCATTGACGATCGTGAACCAGGAGGTTTTCTAGAGATACAGAAATCATTAGGGCTTTGACGAAAGAAAACGTCATTCCTTAAATGAAAAATACAAGTGTCGTATACTATTCGAAAGAACTCTTCAATGCGCAACAAATGTTGCATGTGTAAATGTAGTGCGGCATATGTGTAGCCATTGATGGTCGTGAGGCTCCTTTTTATGAAATGTGTGCTCTAACACAACTAGACTTTGGCAAGAATATCTTACGAAACATTTGTATTACTCCTGCACACGATAGTCAAACAAAATTATTGCTTCGGATTTTCGAAGAATTCCATAAAACCGGTTCTTTTAGAAATTACTTTTCTATCTCTGATGTTTTTGAAAATACTGCCATGAACGCAGCTCAATTCGGCTCAGCTTTTTGAAAAATTTCGAAAGGTTTATTTGGATAAACTATGTTTTACTTACTAATTACGTTTTCATTGATTATCCAATTAGCTGACTGATTGACTATAGTTTGTTTTTGGTTAAGAGCTAACCAGCTATTCATGTTAGAAAAATGTTCCAGAAAAATAATTCCAACCCGAAACTAAACTAAATAATGGATAGTCATGTCCTACTTTGTTGTAAAAGCCCCCACTGTGATATGAGTAGAGAGACAAGTCATCTAGAGTATATAGTTAGATGCAGCTTAGAAAGACGAATCGATTAATATATAATAAATCTAAATTTAATCAAGTTTTCATGAAGATACGATGATAATGTACGTGCACAAATTGTGTGAGAATTCATTATTCATTACCTTCATTACATTATCGAAAACTCATCCACTGAAAGTCAATTGAGCACTAGCGGACGTTCTGCAATGGTTCTGAAACAGTATTAGAATAGTAAAGCAAATTTCAAAGGAAGTCTTCGTCACAGAGTTTGTTTACAATTAGGACATCAAAATAAAACGAATAAATTTGTTGCCTACTATATGTTCATGTGCTAATCTATCAAGGACATCACAAAAATAGACTGAAGAAAATGATAGGGGTATAGTAGTACTAATAGCAAACAAAGAGATTAAGGACTTATATCTTCATTATGGTCCTCCAACTTTCATTATGCCTTAAATATAAAAATCGAATTTCTTTCTTTCTTTTTTTTTACTCATAAAATATAAAACACACACACACGATAGTTACAGTAAAGGAATAGAAAGAGAATACTGTGATTTAATTCGAGCAGCCGTGAGGCTTAGATTGATTTATGCAGATGTTGTTACCTCTGAAAAAAGTCACAGAGTTTGTTTACAATTAGGACATCAAAATAAAACGAATAAATTTGTTGCCTACTATATGTTCATGTGCTAATCTATCAAGAACATCACAAATATAGACTGAAGAAAATGATAGGGGTATAGTAGTACTAATAGCAAACAAAGAGATTAAGGACTTATATGAACAAAATCATCTGTTTTTTAACAGCCGATTAAAGATCTAAAACGACTAAGAAACCTTCATTAAGGATGGTTTAAGTAGAAATCGAGAGTTTGTACCATTAACGAGCGGTGAACGGATTGTTATGAATGACCTGGGTCTAGAGTTTGTGACACACTGTAAAAAAATTGTGTCGCATTATGTGTGGATGTATTGCAAACAGCTTCCTATGTCGTAAAAAAATTAATGTGTCGTAGAATCTAGCTGAAAAATGTGTCGTAAAGTTTTCTCGACGACCTTCGAAATTAACCGAGGAGATCGTCAATTAATCAAAAGTTCAGATCAAACTTCCTTACGTCTGACAAACATGATAAGAAAATCGAGTTTACGTGATGATGAGAAAGTATGGATGGCTGACGAAAATGTTTAGTCATTTACACGTTTTCCAACTTAAAAGCTCTTCACTGTTGTATTCTTACATCTAATGAATTTTACTTTATTGAGCCAAAAATATTTAAAGGACCGACGAAATTAGTAACATTATCCGTAAAGTTGAGATCGTATCCTCTTTTACCATCAGACACCTTTGTTGAAAATTGGTTAACAGTTAACACAATGATTACCTTTCTATAATTCTAAATCACTTTATGGAGTGATAGAGTGGTGAAATTTACTTCGTACGCAAGCTACTATCGGCGCCAGAAGTCAATGCAGGTGGATGTTTTTTGAATAACTTGATAGGAATGAGAAAGAGGCCTACGGTCTTCGCTGTTCGACAGCCAAGATTTCACCCTTTTCGTCTTCGATTATGCTTTATGAGCTGTCCTAAGCGTTTCCTGAAAATTTCCTTGAGTCACCATGAGATTGATCGAGATATAAGGATTTTAATTTTTGCTACTATTCATTTCAATGAACAATGGAGTCGGTTGTAAGTTGAATAACTCCGGATAGGAAGCAGCTAGAGACCTGCGGTTTTCAACATTCGAAAGAGAATAATATTCTTTATTAAGAAATATAGGAAGCTGATTGGTCAACAATTGACCAATCAGGTAAGTTTTCACTTGACATATTAGGCACTGCCTGGAGAAAAGATTCTCCGTTAGATTTGAGATTCTAATACAACCACTCGATAGAGAAAATTGTCCACTGTTGATGTACACAAGGCCCAGCTCTTTAGCTTGTGCTGTTCAGGAAATATAAGTAGTTTTCTGAGAGCTCCGATTTCGGCCAGCTGACCTTGGATCACTCAAACAAACCTCGAAATATAGGTAATCGACCATGCTGAGTCGAGTGGTGATATTTATTTTCAGTTTCGAAGCGATTGAAATCATTAAATTAAATATTTCTGAAATTTTTATATTCGGACGTTATGTCGCGGTATGCGGTGTATTATGTCGATATTTCAAAAAGTTTAATCTAGCGAATTAATTCATTTCAAAACTGAAAATAAACATTACCACCCGACTCAACATGGTCGATTACCTATATCTCGAAGTTGTTTTGAGTGATCCAAGGTCAGCTGGCCGAAATCGGGGCTCTAGGCATGCGCCGAGACGAGAAGTATCGAGAAGCCTCGATACTGTAGTCTCGAGTCTCGAACGTTTCGATATGACTGAAGTTTTTTTTGTAGCTACTCTGATTACTTGTATAGGATCCTCTCATTTGCTGAGAAAATCGAGGAACCTGTTTTGTGTTGCAGAAATTTTTCTTATTTTAATAAGATGGGTGTAGGAAGACTTTTC